GTGGATTACTTGGGGTGGATCCGTTGCCTTTTGCATGTGGTTCCTGGCCTGGAAAGTCCCCGAACAGAGCCACGACAGGAGGGGACGTTGCCAGCTTTTATTCGCCAATCGATCAAAATCGATCCATCAATGAAAATCGATCAATTGATCCCAGGCTGCCCTCCTTCCTCCCCTCCCCCCCGGTCGAGGGATCCCAAAGAGCCGAAAAACAGAGATTCCTAGACACTTTGGGATTGGGAGCGGGGAGATCAGAGGGGCCCAATCAGTGGTGGGATTCAAGTAACTGAACAACCGGTTTTCTGCCCTAATGATTTCTTCCAACAACCAGTTTGCCAAACTGCTCAGCAAGTTAACAACCGGTTCTCCTGAAGTGGTGCGAACTGGCTGAATCCCACCACTGGGCCCAATCCACCAGCAGGTTTGGGGGAACATCGGCCTGAAACCGAAGGGACGTGAGCGCCATCTTCCAATCTTTGGAGGGGCTGCCCCAGAGAAGAATGTAGATAAATAAAAGAATTTTATTTCATTAAAAGATTTAATTTAATAAAATAAAATTTAAATTAGATTTGTTAAAAATGAATAAAAGAATTTATTTCCCAAAGCACCCAAAGGCAGGACAAGAAACCACGGATGGAAACTAACCAAGGAGAGAAGCAACCTGGAATTAAGGAGAAACCGCCTAACAGGGAGGACAATTAAGCAGTGGGACAGAAGTGGCCTCCAAAAGTTGTGGCTTCCTCCATCAGTGGAGGTTTTGGAGAAGAGATTGGACAGTCACTTGTCTGGAATGATCTAGCTAGGGTCTCCTGCTTTGGCAAGGAGTTGGTCCCTTCCAACTCTGTTATTCCGTAATAACAAATAAAGCCTTTGTTTTATTTATTTTATTTATTTTATTTTATTAAATTTCTATACCGCCCTTCTCCCGAAGGACTCAGGGCGGTGAACAGCCAGAAATAAAACCATGACAGTAGAAAAATTAAAAACAAGTTGAAACAATTAAATTAATTGGCCAAAAATTCTAATAAAACAACCCATTAAAATAGTAAAAATATTATTATTATTTAGGCCAGCCCTGCTTGTTGGAATAGTAATTTTTTAGGGCACGGAGAAAGATACGCAGGTCGGTAATCCTACAAATCTCCGGGGGCAGCTCGTTCCAGAGGGTGGGGGCCCCCCACAGAGAATGCTCTCCCCCTGGGGGTCGTCAGCCGGCATTGTCTAGCTCTAGCTGACAGCACCCGGAGGAGCCCCTCTCTGTGGGAGCGTACCGGTCGATGGGAGGCTATCGGTGGCAGAAGGCGGTCTCGTAGATACCCAGGGCCCATGCTTGTGGGGCTTCTGAAATGCTTGAGTTGCTTCACCTTGGACGATACTGCAAATTTTGGTCCAGAGGTCCCAGGGGGCAGAATTTTTATCAGATGCCACCCGTCAAATTTGTTCTGCACCTTCGTGACGGCCTCATACGCAACCTTGCTGACACACTTGGCTGTGGCTTCTTTGGAACTGAAATCGGAAGTTGGTGAGCCGTTCGTGACCAGAGACAATTTGACAGCCGGCCTGGTTCCCTTTTTTGCTGACAGCGCCCTTTGGTGCGCGTGGCATCTAATCCGTTTTTTCTGCCGGTCCTCCTGGCCCCGTCCATCTGCAGAGGTTGCGGCTGGGAAACCGTCTTTGCCATAAACGTCGTATGATTTCCCTCGAAACTCTCTGGCTTCGCTCTGTACACCAAGGCCCGGTTTTCGGCTGTAGTATACCACTCTCCTTTCTCTCTCTGTTTGTGTGTAGGTGTTGTGTGTATATGCGCTGTACATTGAAAAAAGCTGAGCTCTCTGAGCTGGTTGGTTTTCTTGCAGACGTTTTGTGACCCAACTAGGGAACGTTATCAGTTCTAGAAGGGAGGAGGAGGGGAAGTGGCTGTCAGGTCCCTGATGCTGTTTGAGCTTGGCTGTTTTCTTGTAGGACACTCTTACAGAATCACAGAGTTGGAAGGGACCTCGAAGGTCTTCTAGTCCAGCCTCCTGCTCTAGTAGGAGGCCCTATACCATTTCAGATAGCTGGCTGTCCAGTCTCTTCTCCAAAACCTCCAATGATGGAGCACCCACAACTTCTGGTGGCAAGCTGTTTCACTGGTTAATTGTCCTCCCTGTTAGGAAGTTTCTCCTTAATTCCAAGTTGCTTCTCACCTTGGTTAGTTTCCATCCATTGTTCCTTGTCCTGCCTTCAGCTGCTTTTTGGAGAATAGATTGGCCTTCCGCCTCTTTGGGGCAGCCCCCCAAATATTGAAACGGCTATCATGTCCCACCCCATCCCCCCGTCCTTTTTATTCAACGAGACATCCACAATTCCAGCAACCATTCTTAAAAGCCAACCAGGATAAGACCAAACTAATACTTGGAGACCCCCATCTAGCCCTACCCACATTGCCCACCAAATCCCACCCCTAGCATGCAAGATAGCTTGGGAAGTCAAAACCGTGTACCAGAAAGTTGGCAACCGCAAACTATTGTGTTCCCAGGAAAAATACAACCAGCATCTCTGTGTGTCGAGCACAATTTTATGGGGAAAATTCGTTCGTACCCCAAATAAAAATTGCAAATTCAGATGCATAAAATAAAAGATTATTTTAATATAAAGGCCCCTATGAAATAAAATGTGATGGGACCCCTAAATTGGGCAGACCTTTGTAAAACCTCACATGCGAGTTTCCAGTTTAGAAACAACAAACTAACATTTGTAAAGTGTCCAGTTTCTGCAAGTAATGCTGGACTTATTTAGTCCATTTAGTGGCCCATTGCTAAGTGAATTTTGCACCATCTTACCACCTTTATTGTCCCGGTTGTTAAGTGGATCACTGCAGCTGCTAAATTACAACACGGTTGCTAAGTGAATTGGGACTTTGCTGGTCTGACAGTCACAAAAGGAAGTCGTCGGACTACGGGATGCTGCGACTGTCATAAATACGAATCGGTTGCTAAGAGCCTGGATTTTGATCACGTGTCTGTGGGGACCCCTAGGGCTGTTTTTCATACTTATGACCGTTGCAGCTTTCCCCATGGTCCCATGATCAAAATTGGCAACCGACTCGTATTTATGACAGTCATAGTACATATAATACAGGAATATATATTTGTTTTCTGAGGTTTTCGTGGGTGGTTGTATGTAGGTCTTTGGTTATTCGGGTTTTCTCCCGCATAAAATTGGAGGTTTCTTGGCAACGTTTCGACGAAGTCTCATTCGTCATCTTCAGGCTGGTGTTCTCAGCTTCGTGCTTCCAGGAGCAATGTGAGATCGCAGCTGTCTCTTCCTTTTAACACCAGCCTGAAGATGACGAATGAGACTTCGTCGAAACGTCGCCAAGACACTTCCAATTTTACGTGGGAGAAGACCCGAATAACCAAAGACCTACATACAAACACCCGCGAAAACCTGAGAAAATATATATATATATATATATATATATATATATATATATGATTTTGTATTTATATAAAATTTATATTTATAGTTATAAATATACTGCTCAAAAAATAAAGGGAACACAAAACTACTGTATGTAATGAACAAAGTATTTAATAAGGCTATTTCATTCATTCAGATCTCGGAGGTCTTCTGCTTGTGTTCCCTTTATTTTTTTGAGTGTATATTTTAAAAAAGCACAAAAAGTTGCTTTTGTCTCTTTTGGGGAGAAAAAGACGGTTCAATGAGTAACTAATAAGAATTTATCTCAGGTCACCTTTGCTCGGAGGGAGCTGATTACTGAAGGGTTTGCGGCCAAGGTTGGATTCCCATATGAAGAGATGTTGAAAATAAGAGCAATAAAATGAAATAAAATGAATGTGTTGAAATTGTTTCCAGATTAAGGGGTTGCATCACATTTCCATGTCCCCGTTGACAAAATCAACAAAGCGTTTATTGTGCAAAACTCCGAACGATCCACATGCCCCATGGTCACCGATGAATGGCAGGGTTGAGCAGTCAAATATCGGTGGGACTCTCAGAAATCTGGATTTAACCTCCCCCTCCTCCCATAATAGGGCAAAAGGGCGTCCCCAACCCAGTGAGATGGAGCAGGAAGCCAAGAAACGGTGGACTTTTTTTTTTTTATTGAAAAAGTTTTAAAACAAACACAATTTCCCCACAACCGTCCCTCCCAACCCCCCCTCCCCCTCCCCGACTTCCCAGAGCAGAACACAAGGTATTTCTATTGACCTTTAACAATAAACTAAATTGTATAACCAATCATTAAACTAACACCCCCTAAAAAAAATGCATATTAAAAGGTTGTATAATGTTTTATTGGAAATAGATTCTGAGACGGAATTGGTTAAAGACTGTATGATTAAATGGGCACAAAATTTTCAAGAGCCAGTAATGATGGAGACTTGGGAAAAGATTTGGATTAGAAATGTGAAATTTACACAAGCACAAAATTTAAGAGAAAATTTTTATAAAATGTTTTATAGATGGCACTTAGATCCCAAAAAATTATCATGTATGTATCCTAATGTGCAAGCTAAATGTTGGAGATGTGACTGTGATGATGCAACTTATTATCACATATGGTGGACTTGTAGAAAAATCAAAGCATTTTGGATAAAGATTTGGTGGGTGATGCAGAATATTTTTTAAAAAAGACTGAAATTTACTCCACAGTTGTTCTTACTGGGTATAACTACGGACTGTACAGTTGCAGAGACTAAACTGATTTTGAACTTGATAACAGCAGCAAGATTGTTGGTAGCACAACACTGGAAGAAGGACTTTTTGCCTACTATTGATGATTGGATATTGAAAGTAACTAATTTAGCTGAAATGGCTAAAATTTCAGCATATCTGAAGGATCACACACAAGAAAGGTATATACAGGACTGGAGAAGATGGATTGATTATATACAAAATAAGTATCAGACCAAAAAATATCAAATAGCTTATGAATGATCTCTTTTATTTGTATAAGCGCTATATAAGTGATATTAGAAGTATTATGTTTAAAAATGGTGGACTTTTTATATATATTTATTTCTGTACTTGGCTTTCTGACCCAGATTCTGAATTGAGTCCGAATGACATCAACCTATTTCCAGATGTTAAAAAAATAAAAGGTTTCAGCCGAGAAAATGGATTGCTTTAAAGCAGGACTTCCCAACTTTGACAACTTTAAAACCTGTGAACTTCAACTCCCAGAATTCCCCAGTTAGCAAGGGTTTACCAAAATGGATAGCACAAGAAGAAGAACAAATGTGGATAGACTCTTTTATCACTTTTTTATTAGCAGGTGGTGGATATGCAGTGAACAAAATATATCACATTTTATAGGATAATTTTATTAGTAGATGGTGGGTATGCAGTGAACATAATATATCTTGATTTCAGCAAAGTGAACAAAATTGCTGGCTGGGGAATTCGGGGGGGGGGGGGAGTCCACAAGTCTTAAAGTTAAAAAGTATGGACATCCCTGGTCTAAAAGGAAGGTAATATACCCACCTTGCAGCCCTTGAGCAGGGGGCTGGACTAGAAGATCTCCAAGGTCCCTTCCAACTCTGTCCTTCTGTTATATTGTAAAGCTCTCCTGCTTGAGCAGGGGGTTGGACTAGACAACCTCCGAGGTCCCTTCCAACTCTATTCTGATTGATTGAAGGCCCTTCCAGCGCCTCAGAAGTGGTCCTGCTCAGCCAGCTCTCCTGCGTCGCCGATGAAAACCAGGTTACTGCAGCCCCCCACTGTCTGTGCGGCCGAGGGAGGAGGACCCTGAGACCCCAAAAACGTCTTCATCCGAGGGGCTCCTTCTGCAGGCAGCCCCTCCCTCTCCTGCAAGGCACGGAAAGCAAAAAGGTGACAGTGACTGAACCCAGGGGAGGGCTGGGGTCTGTCTGGGAGGGCTGGGACCCAAATCCCTGAGCCCCCACCCCCCACAGCTCCCGATAACACTCACTGGGTCAAGGACAAAAGGGGGGCAGTCTTCCAGCTCTGGCATGGACCCCGGCGGCTGCACACGAGGGAGGCTCAAGACCCTCGAGCGGAGAGGGAGTGGCAGGGCCACAAGGGTCTCCTGGGCAGGGGGAGCTCTTCTGTGGGGAGAGAAGTCACTGAGGGGGGGGCACCCTCCGAGAGAGCCCTACCCATGGCAGGTTCTACCCGGGCCCCGCCCCTTCCAGGAGGGGGCTGGTGTGAGGTGAGGCTGGCCCTATCACTGACAGGACAAAGGTTGTGCAGTGAGCCCCCCTCCCCATCAATGATGGCCGCCTTCCCTTTCAGGAAATGGTAAGGTTTTCCCTGCTCGAGCAGGGGGTCAGACTAGATGACCTCCATGGTCACTTCCTCTTACCGGAAGAGCAGCAGTGCCAGCAGCAGCCACAGCAGGAGACCCGCAAAGCAGGAGACCCCCACCAGGGCCAGGAGGAGAGCTGCATGGAGGGGGGTCAAAGGTCAGGTCAGAGACCCAGCCCCCCAACTCAAATATGGGTTTTCCCTGCTCAGCCCTATGCATGGAAAGCCCCTCCTCACCAGGCACAAAGCAATATGGCAGCGCCTGAAGGGGGTTCTTGGGAGGAATCTGGGCCCTTGCCCCATAGAGGGCCTCCTCTCCCTCCCTCCCTTCTCTCTCTCTCTTTCTTTCTTTCCTTCTTTCCTTCCTCTCCCTAAGTAAGTCCCTTTTCCCTTTTTCTTTCTTTTTTACTCTCTTTCTCTTTTTTCTTTCTTTCCTTTCCTCTTCCTTTCCTTCCTCCTATCCCTCCTCTCTCTTTTTTTTTCCCCCTCTCTTTTTCCCTCCGTCCCTCTTTTCCTTTCTTTTCAGCAGGCCCTCCCCTCCACTGGCCACAAGCCTGAGATTCCTAGACAGGGAGAGTGGGCAGTCTGTCCTTGGCCCTCTGCTGCCTGCCTCAAAGGGAGGGCCTCACTCCCAATGAGTGGGCGGGGGGCGCTTCCAGTGCTCCCACCTCAACCAAATCGGCCTGGTGTTGGATCGGGACCAACCGGAAGAAGTTCCCCACCACCACCACCACCTTCCTAATCCAAGTGCTTGTGGCAATGAGTTCCCAAGTTTGCCTGCACAACATCCAGCCAGGTTGCCATGCATTGCTTCCAATTCTCCAGCACCCTGTTTAGCCCCTCCCTCCCCACTAGGCTCTTGTCTCAACCCCCTCCTCCCCCCCCCCATTATCCCTCAGCCACGGCTTCTGTCGGCTTGGCCGCTGTGGGGGAGGAAACACCGCCCCCCCCCCAGGGAGGTGAGGCACTTACGCTCCTGGCAGGCAGCACCTCCAAAGCCAAAGGGACACCTGGAAGGGAAGGAAGAGGTAGGAGGGCAGGCAGGGTTCACTCCCACCAGCCAGGTGCAGGGAGGGCACCGGATTCCCCTTCTGGGACAACTGCTCACCCCCCCACCCAAAAAAAATAACCCTGCTTTCCCTTGGGGCAGCCAGAAACCTCAGCCGTTGCCAGGCGGGCATCTCTTTGTTGCCAAGCGCCGGGTCTTGACACTGCTGCCCTCTAGTGGCCTCGATCTTCTTTTTCATCAGAGGATTTTAGGGCCGGAAGGGACCTCGGAGGTCTTCTAGTCCAACCCCCGGGGACTCAAGGCACCCAAGTCTTTTATTCCATCCTGGACAAATGGGAGTCTGGTTTTGGTTGTTTTTTTCTTTTTTTCTTCAAACTGATCTGCGATGAAACACCTGCCACTCACGGACTGGGGTGTGAAGAAGATGCAGGACCAGAATTAGAATCTGGGACCTGATTCTGCCGAGTATAAATGCACCTCACCTGATGCAGGTGCCGTTCTGCAGCCAAAATCCACTCTCACAAGCTGGATAGGGGACAGAGAGAGAGAGGGAGAGGGAGGGAGAGAGAGAGAGAAAGAGGGAGAGAGGGAGGGGGAGAGAGAGAGAGGGAGGGAGAGAGAGAGAGAAAGAGAGAGAAAGAGGGAGGGAGAGGGAGGGAGAGAGAGAGAGAAAGAGGGAGAGAGGGAAGGAGAGAATGAGAAGACCAAGAAAGGGAGAGAGAGAGAGAGAAGGAGAAGAAGGAGAGAGAAAGAGAGAATTTAATTTAATTTAATTTAATTAATTCAATTTATATGCCGCCCCTCTCCAAAGACTCAGGGCGGCTCACAGTACACTTCAAAAAATCACCACCAAAACAAAAAACCATTTAAAAATTAAAAACATTAAAAACTCATTCACGCCATTCATGGCCGGATCTTGCAAGATCGCAAGAGCGAGATCAACGGCCCCAGGCCTGCCGGAAGAGCCAGATCTTCACCGCTTTTCGGAAGGCCAATAGGGTGGGGGCAGTCCGGACCTCAGGAGGTAACTGGTTCCAGAGAGCCGGGGCAGCCACAGAGAAGGCCCTCCCCCGCAGACCCACCAGCCGGCATTGTTTAGCTGACGGGACCCGGAGGAGACCAACTCTGTGGGATCTTACTGGTCCCTGGGAGCTATGCGGTAGAAGGCGGTCTCGAAGATAGCCTGGCCCTGAGCCATGTAGGGCTTTAAAGGTAATAACCAACACCTTGAATTGGGACCGGAGCCGATAGGGAGCCAGTGCAGCTCACGGAGAATTGGTGTAATGTGGGTGTATCTAGGTGCACCCACGACAGCTTGCGCGGCTGCATTCTGGACCAACTGTAGTCTCCGAACACTTTTCAAGGGTAGCCCCATGTAGAGCACATTGCAATAATCCAACCGTGAGGTGACAAGGGCATGAGTGACTGTGAGGAGAGCCTCCAGATCCAAGTAGGGTCGCAATTGGTGCAGCAGGCGAACCTGTGCAAAGGCCCCCCCTAGCCACAGCTGTCAGGTGTTGCTCTAATCTTAGCTGTGAGTCTAGGAGGACACCCAAATTGCGAACCCGTTCTGAGGGGGACAATTTCTCTCCCCCCAGAACCAAGAATGAAAGAGAGAGAGTAAAAGAATGAGAACAGAGAATGAGAGAGGAGAGAAAGAGATTGAGAGAGAGAATTAGGAGAATAAGAAAGAGAATGAAGACAGACAGAGAGAGAATGAGAAAAGAGAAAGAAAGTGAATGAAAGAGAGAATGAGGACAAAGAAAGAGAGAGAGAAAATGAGAATAAGAGAGAGAGAGGATGATATGAGAGAGAGAGGATGAGAAAGAGAGATCCGCTGAGACCCTGGGTGGAAAAAAAGGGGTGCCCCATCTGCAGTGGGGAGCAGGGATCCCCCAAGTCCAATCCAAGGGAGCCCACCTGTGCATGTGCGGTCCATGGCGTGTGCCCGGAAAAAGCCTGGATGGCAGGTGCAGCCGACCAGGCCATCTGGGGAGGAGCAGGTGGTCGAGAAGGGGTCGCAGACGTTCAACTGGCAGAGGTTCAAGGCTGCAAAGGAAGAGCTCCAATTAGTGTCGGACTTCCTGGCGGGGAGGGGGGCTGCCAACTACGAGGCCCTGCCTTCCAGGATACTCAGGGAGGGGCCGTTTGGCAGCCCTTCCCCCAGGGCCCAGGACTGAAGCTAGAGCTCCAGAGGCACCTTACCCTTGTAGGCGCCTTCATGGTCGCAAAACGGAGTGCCCTGCAGGCTGCTGTGACACTGCACTCGGAAGGCGTCCACAGCCATGTCCACCTTGTGGCTTGTAACCGGACCCCAAGCAGAAAAGTGGTGCAGGATGGTCACCTCTTGGCCAGACCGGCTGTGAAGTCAACAGTCGGGGTCAGCTGGGTGACCGGCGGTGCACGGCGTCTCCTGTCTGGAACTCGCTTCATTGGTTCATCTTTTCTCTGACACATTAGGGTGCTGAGGGACCCAATTCCATTGTCCTCCACACGGGAGGCAGAGATGGAGGGGCTTCCGTCCCAAGGAAGAGGAGTTGGGTGGGACAGCGAGGCCAAATTCCTCCCTGGGACAGGTTTTGTGCCCCTGGAGAACAAACTGGAGGTTGAAGACTGAAAGGTTAAGCAGAGGCCGGCTGGATCTCTGTCAGGAAGCTGGGGACTACATCAGGGGTCCACAACCCCTGAGTCACGGCCCGTACAGAACCGGGCTGTGCAAGCAACAGGCGAGTGCACGTATGCACGCAGCTACATTTGTACAAGGGGTGGACGCAGGTACTCGGTGTGCAGCTCCACTCTCATGGAAACATCCCGTCTCCGCCGGGCTGCCAAGCCAAAAGGGTTGGGGACCATTGGACTAGAACACAGGTGGGCAACCTTAAACACTCAAAGAGCCACGAAGGTCCTAACTGGAAGCCCCCCGTTCAATTCTGGAACCAACCAGAAGTCCGGTTCCCCTACCATAGAGTCTCCTCCTAGCCGAAAATCCTATCAATTGTGGAGCCAACTGGAAAACCCGCCCCTTGCCATCAAGTCACCTCCTGGCACGCTGTGCTTTTCCTCCCCCTAACTGGAAGCTCCTCTCAAAATTGTGGCAGCAACAAAGAGCTGCATCAGAGGATGAAAGAGACACATGCGGCTCCAGAGCCACGGGTTACCGACTCCTGGACTAGAAGATCTCCAAGATCCTGCTCATCCTAGGACAAGGGTCCCCAACCCCACCCCACCCCCGGTCCACAGCCTGCTAGAAACCGGTCTGCACAAACGAGCAAAGCACCATCGGCGCACCTGCAGAACCATGAAACCACACCGCAACCAGGTCTGTGGAAAAGCTGCTCTCCATAGAATCAGTCCACGGTGCCCCAAAGGTTGAGGGTACCTGCCCTAGGAGGCCCTGGGGCAGGCTCACAATCTCAGCCCACCCCCCTCCTTCCACAGACTCACTTCAGTGCATGAATCAGGGAGTCCAGGTACCCGTCCAAATGGCCCAGGAGGCACTGGAACTACGGACAAAGACAGACAGGCATGGCAAGGAGGCACGGGGTACGAACCCTGCCCCCAAAGCTCTCCCCTCAGTGCCGAAATGGTGTATCCAATAAAGTTTTGCTTTTGGGACAACGTCAGGGGCCCCTTTCCTTTCCCAGCTTCACCGGAGACCTGCAAGGGTGTTTGGCGGACTGCAGGCGGGGGGCTGTGCAGGAGCCCCAGCCTAATACCCACCCTCCCAATCAGAGGGGATGGAGTAGTTTGCCTCCATCCTGGCACCACAAGGCTATGGGTTCATGGCCACCAAGGGGTCAGCCCCAGTCCTTTGAGAGAGGGGCCCTTACCAAGCGCTGAACCTGGCGGGCGACCAGCAAGGAGGATGACTCTGGGGGCTCCAGGTTACAGACCGTCAACTGGGCAGCGAAGACTTTGACTGCAAGATAGTAGTCGGGGCCATGCCCGTCAATCCAGGGGTCCTGGGAAGCCGCCTGACTCCTTCCCCTCCCACCCACATCTTGGCTCAGGTGGAGCCCTGGGTGTGGGGAGGGGGCAAGTCCCAAAGAGGAGGCAAGGGTTTTATGGCGGGAGGGGGGGTCCTGACTCCTGTCAGTTCCTGCTGAAGGAGGGGTTGTGCTCAACTGCCCGTCAAACACCTCTTCCCAAGCCCTCCCTCCCTCCCTCCCCCTTCAGCCTGGCCCATTTTACTGAAGCCGAGCCGAGCCAAGGCTGGGATGGGCAGTGCCACGCTTCCACGCAGGAGCCACACGGGCAGTGGTGAAATTCAGCCGGTTCTATCCAGTTCGGGGGAACTGGTAGTGCCGGTGGCAGGAGGCTCCGGCCAGCCAGCCGGACGTCATCACATCCCATTTTTGACTCTCTGCACATGCGTGGAGGAGTTGCGCACTCACATTTGCGAACCTGCACATGGGGCACTCACCTGGCCACCAGCCGAGGAGGAGGACGGTGGGGGTGGAAGGAGCAGCCCCTCCCGGAAAAGACCTCCTTCAGGGCCTCCTTGGGGGAGCTATGGAAGGACTCCCCCCTCCCCCCTTCCTTTAGATAAGGGGTCCCCATTCCCGGGTTATGGACCCGTCCCGGGCCGTGGCCTGTTAGGAACCAAGCCGCACAAGTGAGTGAAGCTTTAATCTCCAAAGTCACGGGATCGAGGTGGTGCGTGAAACCATCTCCCCCCTCCCCTCAAATCCATCGAAAAACTGTCTTTGACAAAACCGGTCCCGTGGCGGGGGGGGCAAAGTTTGGGCATCCCTGTTTAAGATGCCCCCTTACCTGGCACACAGCCAAACACGGGGTGGAGATGATAGCCCAGCCCACAGCGGCAAATTTGGCGTCCCACGTGGTCCTCCTCGCAGGAGCTCCAGGGGGGGCAGTCCTCCCCTCCATGACAGGCCGGGGGTGCTGCGAGGAAGGGGGGAGACACACAGGCTGTGACACCGGATCCCCATCTTTGGGAGGGGGGCCTTTGGGGGGCTCCGAGGAATAGGGCCTGAGATTTATTTATTTATTTATTTATTTATTATATTTCTATACCGCCTTTCTCCCGTAGGACTCAAGGCGGTGTACAGTCAAGAAAAATATAGACACACAAACATAATAAAATTGCTAATTAAAATTATTACTTAGTTTGGTCAATTAAATAAAGATTGCCCCAAGGGCTCTGGTTCCAAGTTATGGTGGCACTGAAAAAGGTGACTTAGGACCATTTCTCACACTTATGACCGTCCCAGCATCCCCTCGGTCACAAGATCCAAGTTCAGATGCTTGGCAACCGAATCGTAGTTATGACGGTCGCAGCGTCCCCGGGTTGAAGGATTCCCCCCTTTTACGACCTTCTGGACGAGCCAAGTCAACGGGTGAAGCCAGATTCACGTTACGACCGTGGGACTAATGTAACAGCTGCCATGATTCGCTTAAGAACCGTGGCATGCAAGGTCAAAACTCACTTAACGAACATCTTACTAACTTTTCGGCTCAATGATGGTCGTACGTTGAAGACTATCTTTAGGCATGGGTGCTACTACCCCCTCCTCCATAAGATGAACAGAATAATTTGATAATTAGTTATATACAGGCAGTCCTCGACTTACGACCAGAAGGGAGCACAGAATTTATGTCGCTAAGCGAGACATTTGTTCCGGGAGTCTTTGCTGGGTCTGATGACATTCCTCGCCATTTTTGTTAAGTGGATCCCTGCCATTGTTAAGTGAGTTACACGGTTGCTAAATGAATCCGGCTTCTCCGGGGGGGGGGGGGATGTCATGTGATCCCTTTTTGACGAACAAAGTCAAGGGGGAAGCTGGGTTCACTTACCGAGTGTGTGACTCACTTAACAACTGAACAGCATCGGTTTTTCAGCGCCAAAGGGCTCCCCCCCTTACCCGGCTCTGGTGCATCATTGGTCCAGTTGACCATCATTTCGGGGAGGGTCTCGTCCCAGGCAAAGGGGGGATCTGACTGTGGTGGCTGGCTGACCCCACTCTCTGCTGAAAGAGGAAAAGGGTTTTTTTTATTTCCATTCCTGGGGGCTTTCAGAAAAGAGAACTGGGCAACCGTTGGTCCGAAATAGTAGGGTCTCCTCTTGGAGCAGGGGGCTGGACTAGATGACCTCTGAGGTGCCTTCCAACTCTTTTCTTGTCTTGTCTTCTCTTCTCTTCTATTTTAATTCTTTTACAGGGGTTGGACTAGAAGACCTCACAGGTCCCTTCCAACTCTATTATTCTGTCATTCTGTAAGGGCCTCCTACTAGAGCATGGGGTGGGACTAGATGACCTCAGAGGCCCCTTCTCACTCCCCAGTTCCATAAGGCAGGTTAGAAAAGACACCCCAGGGAAAAATAACACGACACAGTTGTATGATAATCACACGTGCAAGTCAGCATAACTCACAACGTGACCCACCGGGCCACTAAACCCTGGATGTCGGGAAGGAGGCAGTCAGGGAAGGTGCGGGGAGGGGGGGAGGAGGGAAGGGGAGGCATCTCCCTCCCTGCCAATGGGGATCCCGGATGGAGAGACACCCCCACACCCTCGGGAGAGGTCAATGTCCGGAGACAAGCGGGTCCCGGACCACGCGTGGGTAGCTTGGAGCGAGACCTAACTCCGGATTGTGGATTAAAGCTACCGCGCTGCCGTTTCCTCCGAAGTCTAGCCTAGCCGTCTTCGGACCCCCTTGAGCCCCTCACCTCACCCCCGCCGGGAGGCCCCCTACCCCTGTTTTAGCCGATATGACCTCCGGGATCGGGCGCAGCGCTCGCCTCCTTCCGCGTGGCGCGCCCTGGAAAGTTTGCCGATCTGCCCGGGAGTCGAAACGGGGTTGCGGCTGCATTGCGGGTAGAGCAGGCAGGGGTCTTTTTCCACCATCCCACCCCCAGGCGGAGGAGGCGAGCTCTGCGCGCGATCCTGAGACTCACCTGCGGCGATCCCCAGCTCCACCTGTAGGAAGGCGGCCAGGGCCAAGGAGAAGCCCACCCCCCACATTTCTCCAGCCCTGCAGCTGCGCTGAAGGGGGAGGGGGGATTTGGAGGGAGGGGCGCAGGGAGGGAGGAAGGATCCTGTGACCATCCTATCACCTCCCACCAGGGTACTCATTAACCCATCCGCCACACTCCCGGCCGGCTTCCAGGGCCAAGGGGAGGGAACACCGGGGTTGCCATCCTCTCTCAGGATCCGCCCCCCCACGCACCCCTAGACCCGCATCCCCAGGGTCTAGGGGGGCGGAAACAGGAGCTGCTAAACGAGGCGCATGGCCATGTCTGTTTCCCTCGATGGAAAGGGCTTTTCTCCGCACAGAATTATGGAAGGACAGAGTTGGAAGGGACCTTGGAGGTCATCTAGTCCGACCCCCTTCTCAGAGTGCACGCACACACACACAGGATTATGGTTGCTGGAACACTTGGGCGGAAACGAGGGAAGGGGTGGGGGGGGGCGTCCAGCGACTCCCCTCGAGAGCGGGGGTGGGGCGTGCAAGTCCCCACCCCAGACGCTTCCGCCACTCCCACCAGCTGCGAAAGAAAGCCGGAAAGCTTGCGGGACGCATTTCTGCCTGTTCTTGGGGGAGGGGGAGGCGGGGGAGGCGGAGAGAGGGCGGGTCGCGCCCGGGCCCAATGGGAGGAGGAGAGGATTCCTCTTCCGCCTGGCTGCCCGAGCATGGAGCCCGTGGTGGGTGTCAGCCCGCGGCTGGGGAAGGGGAGTGAGTGAGGGGGTGGGTGGGTGGTCTGGGCAGCAGTTCAACCGGTCGAGCCTTCTGCGCCTCTTGCCTTGCAGACGGTTGGGGGGCTGATGCGGACCCTGCGGGAGATGGGCTTCAGCGAGGAGCAGGTGGGGGCCGCCCTGCGCGCCGGCTGCCTGAGCGTCCCGGAGGCGGCGGACTGGTGAGTGGGGGGTGTTGGGGGGCGTTGGGGGGGGAAGGTCTTCTTGACCCCCCCCTCTGATCGTCTCTCCTTCCCCGAGACCAGGCTGCTGCGCGATCGCCCGGAGGGGGTTCCCCATTCGCCCCGTCTCCGGCTCTTCCCGGGGGTCTCGGAGCCCCGCGCCACGGACGCCTTCCAAGCCCCCCGGACGCCCCACTTAGTGGACGGGACGGGGGCAGCTGAGCTTCCCGGGGGGGTCCCGGCCGCGCCGGGGGGAGACGGGCAGCCGCAAGCCTGGGATTTGGCGGATCGGTCGCAGCTGGTCCAGCAGCTGAAAACCGAAAAGAGGACGAAGCAGCGGGTGAGCTCCGCTTGCGGCGTGTATGGGGGAAGGGGGGGGATTGCGAGCGATCCAAAGGCGCGGCAAACTTTCTCTCCGGCTCTGCTTCCCCTAGGAGCGCGAGTTGGCCTTGCAGAGGATCGCGGACGACCGACGGCAGAACCGGGCCAGGGCGGCAACCCCTCAGCCCGGCCCAGGATGCGCGCAGCCAGACGCGATCCAGCCGCCCGGCCGCGCGCAGTGTCTGCTGGTGGTAAGGAGACGCAAGGAAACCCCTCACCCCAAATGACCCCCCTCAGCGCCGAGTGGGGAGAGGAAGCGAGTCCCGGGGTCCGCTGGGCTTTCGGCGAAGGGGGGCACGCAGAGGAGGACGGGCGAGGGCGGAGTCGGCAACCAAGCTCCGGACTTTCTCTCGTTTACCCTTTCTCTCGTTCTTTTTGTCTTTCACTCTCATTTTCTCATTCTGTTTTTTCTCTTTCATTTTCACTCTTTCCTTTCTCTTTCTCTCTCATTCTCTTTTTCCTCTTTCTCTCTTTTTCTCTCTCGCGTTCTCTTTTATTTTCTCATTCTTTTTTCTTTTTCTCTTTCACTCTTTCTCCTCTACTTCTTTTGCTTTTTTTCTCATTCTGGTTTTTTCTCTCTTTCATTTTCTTTCTCTCTTTCACTTTCTCTCTTTCTTTCCCTTTCTCTTTCCCTTTCTCTCTCATTCTCTTTCTCATTTTTCTCTTTTCTCATTTTTCTTTCTTTTCCTCTTTCTCTCTCTTTTTCTTTCTGTCTTTCTTTCTCTTGCCTTTCTCTCTTTCCCTTTCTCTTCCTCTTTCTCTTCTCTCTCTCTCCCATTCTCTCTTTCTTTTTCTATTTCTCATCTATCTCATTCTTTTTCTCTTTCTCTCCCTTTTTCTCTTCGCCCACCTCCCAGATCCGCCTGCCCAGCGGGGAGTCTCTCCGCCGAACCTTCCCGGCCGAAGCCTCCCTGCAGAGCGTCCAGCGGTTCCTCCGGTCGCAACACCCGGGGCTCTCGCCCTCCTCTGCCTTCCTGCAGGCCGCCCCCAAACGCCGCTTCGGACCGGCCGACCTGCCGCACTCGCTGCTGGCGCTGGGCCTGGCCCCCGGAGCCACCCTCTGCGTCGTCGAGCCGGCGCCCGGGGACGCCTCGCCTCCTTGTCCCGCCCCTCCGGAGCCCCTCCCCGCAGAGGGGAGCCCCTGTTCGCAGGGGGCGGGGAAGGGGGCGGAACCCACCCCTGGCACTCCGCAGGAGGGTCTCTCCAGCCGAGGGGGGAAAGTTCCCTCCCGGGACCCCCATCGGTGGGGTAAGCGAGCTGGCGGCTGCAGTGGGTGGGTGGGTGGGCTACGGGTTTGAGGCTCGTTAATGCGGCTGACCCCTCTCTTCAATGATTCCTCCCTCCATGGGGAGGGGGGTTTGCCCCTCGTCTGAGCAAGGGAGGGTCCGCCCTGCTACATGGAGGGCTGGGTTGCGGGGGTCTTTGACCTGTGGCAGGAAAGATGGGGTTGCAGGGGGCTCCCCCAGGCTGGCCTTGCAGAAGAGCTGGGTGAGGGTCTCTGCCTTCCCCTGTTCCCGCTCCCTCCCCATGGCCTGGAAGGGTGGGAAACATCCTCTCCCCGCTTCAAGGAGGGAGGGGGCTGGCTTCACTCTGTAACCTTCACTCGGGGGGTCTCCGGCAGGCAGGGGTCAGAAGCTGGACTCTGAGGAGCCCATGGAGCAGGACCTGCCGCCAGCCGCCAGGGGGCAGCAGGCGCTGGGGGAAAAGCCAGGTGAGTCGGGAGGGAGCTCTGGAGCTTCCAGGGCTGTGCCAACCATCCAGAGAGAGAGAGAGAGAAAGCCTTGGAGGTCATCTAGTCCAACCCCCTGCTCCAGCATGAGACCCTTACAGAATCCTAGAATGACAGCACTGGGGGAGGGTCTCTTACCCACTCCTCTCCTTCCTCTTTGTAGCTGTCTTGCCTGCTGCCCGTGACGACCCTGCAGAGTCTGGCCACTGGTGGCCGCAGGAGGGCCACCGGCTGCGGTAGGGCATTTTCAGCCTGGGTGGGTGGGTGGGTGAGCTGCTAGCATGGCACTGAAGAAGCCTGGCTGGGGGTGAGCAGGGGCCCCGTTTCAAGGATCTCTTTGCCCCCCCAGGAGGGAAGCCGAGGGGAGCAGCCCGGGACCCCTGCCCCTTGCCGTAGCCCGGGCAGCCGAGCAGCGCCACTGCCAAACGCCCGTCCTAGGGGAGAGCAGCCAGCTTGCATCAGCGTCCCCTGCGGCCTTGGTTTCCCCTTCGGTGCCTTCGCTGTTCGGGCTGTGTCTTCAGGGGGCAGCCGCCCTCCTCTCAGGTAGAAGCCCCCTCCCTCTCTAACCCCACCCCAAAAAAGACTCCGAGTTGCCCATCTGCCTCTCTGCCCTTCCAGCCCCCAGCAGGCAGTACCGCGGCAGCCTGGCCTCACTGCCCCCCGGGCTGGCCCAGGTGTTGCTGGAGTACCTGGTGCGAGGGGCTCGGCTCCATCCTGGCAGCCTGCGGCTCTTCTCTGGCTGCTCCCTCTGGACCCTCTGCCTGGACTGCTACCCCTACGCCACCAACCGGCTGCTCGCCGAGCTGCCCGCTTTTCCCGGCTTACGGCAGCTGAGCCTCTTCTGCTGCTCACTTATTACAGGTGAGAGAGGAGAAGGGGATCCCTTGGCAACTGTCTGTGCCACCTGGGTCTCCGGCCTGCCTCGGGAAGAAAATCGAGGAAGGGGGAGAGGAAGGGGTGGGTGGGTTTACACGGGTCCTCAGTCCCCTTGCCCCAAGGAGGAGAAGTTGGGTTCAGGATGGTGGGCGGGAGGCTGAGCTGAGCATCCCACCACCCCCTTATCTCCTCCCAGACCAAGGTCTGTCCGTAGTGCAGCATCTTTCGCACCTGCAGCAGCTGAACCTCTCGGCCTGCGCAAAGCTGACTGACAACTGCCTACCGTTCCTGAAAGGTTTGACTGATGCACACACACACACACACACACACACACTGTCAGGGCATTTATTAATCCCATGTTTGGCTCTGGGACTAATTACCCTGGTTTGGAGGAGATGGATCGTGGCTTATCCTTGTTTCAATAATCTGAAAAGAAACGCGAAGGAAGGTTTCTAATAAAACTCATTTATTTGTTATAAAGAAAATAAAACACCTCACTAACTAAGAAAAGTTAATTGTTACATTTTTGAAAATAATTCTGGCCGGCTATCTTTCAGCCGGACCTTGCTGGAAAGAGAACAAAGGAAAGAGTGTGAAGGAATGTGGGTGGATGGACATGCGTAGTAGCTTACTGATAAGAAGTTGGCAAAGCTACGGAGAGTCTGACAGTCCAGAAATAATGAGCTCAGCTGGTAAATAAAATAACGCAGTGACACACACACACACACACAGAGAGAGAGAGAGAGAGAGTCTGAATCAATCAAGTAGAAGAGAGTTGGAAGGGACTTTGGAGGTCATCTAGTCCTGCCCTCTGCTCAAGCAGGGGACCCTTCCAGAATCATAGAATGAGAGAAAAAAGAGGAAGGAAGGAAGGAAGGGTTAGAAAAGGAAAGAAGAAAAAGAGAAGGAAGGAAGGAAAAGAGAAAGAAAAAGAAAGAGGGAAAGAAAAAGAGGGGTGGAGGAAGTTAGAAAGGGAAAGAAGGGAAAGCAAAAGAAAAAAGGATGGGCCTAAACCCTGACCTGACAGACAGGAGATTGGGGGGGGGTTGTGAAGGAGGAGGGGGCACCTCCCACCCCCATCCACACCTCCCTCTCCCACAGGGCTGCTGGAGTTGTCCCACCTGGTGCTGGACCAGACCCGAGTGACCGATGCCGGCCTGGCAGGCTTCCTCCTGGGGTCTCCCTCTGCCCTCTCCCACCTGAGCCTCAACCGGACCAGTGTCACGGAGCGCACCCTCCTCCTCCTGCCCCAGTGCGCCCCCCAATTGCGCGAGCTCGGCCTCAAGCAGACTGGCGTAAGTGGGCCGCTCCAACGGCCCGGAGTGGGGGGACTCGGAGTGGGGGAAGCTACTTTTCTTATAGCGTCGGCCGGTGTCCTCAGATCAGTGACGTGTCCGCCCTACGGCACTCGGAGGCCCTGCAGAGGCTGTTCCTGGACGGCACCCCTGTGAGCGAAGCCTCCCTCAGGACCCTCGCCTCCCACCCAGCTCTGGGCTGCTTGACCCTCTCCGCCGTCCAGTCTGTGGATGGAGATCGGGTTCTGGAGCTGGTCTCAGGTACGGGGCAGAGGTGGGCTTGTCTAGATGCCCCCAGGTGCAAATGGGGGGGGGGGCTCCCTGTCCTGGGATGGCAGGGCAGAGCTCCTGCGGTGTCTCTCAGGGTGGCCAGCAGGGGGCAGCTCCTTAGTTGCAGGAAGGAAAGAAGGAAAAGCAGGATGGAGGGAGAGGGGCATTGAGGAAGGAGGGAAGGAAGGAGAGGAAGAATGGAGAGAGGGAAGAAAAGGAAGAGAGAGAGACAGGAATAAAGGAAGGAGATAGATTGGAGGAAGGGAGGGAGGGAGGAAGTGGGGAGGGAGGGTCATTGAGGAAGGAGGGAAGGAAGGAGAGGAAGAATGGAGAGAAGGAAGAAAAGAAGGAGAGAGACAGGAAGGAAGGAAGGAGATTGAAGGAAGGAAGAAGGGGAGGGAGGGAAGGAAGGAAGGACGAAAGGAACTAGGGAGGGAGTGACATTGAGGAAGGAGGGAAGGAAGTAGAGGAAGAATGGAGGCAGGGAAGGAAGCAGAAGGAGGGAGGAAGAAAGGAAGGAGATAAATTAGAGGGAGGGAAGGAGGGAGGAACATTGAGGAAGGGGTGAAGGAGAGGAAGAATGGAGAGAGGGAAGAAAAGGAGAGAGAGGAATAAAGGAAGGAGATAGATTGGAGGAAGGAAGAAGGGGAAGGGAGGGAGGAAGGGACATTGAGGAAAGAGGGAGGGAAGGAGGGGAAGAATGGACAGAGGGAAGGAAGTGGGGGGGGGTAGAGAGGAAGGAGATAGATTGGAGGAAGGGGGGGAGGGAAGGAGAGAGGAAGAATGGAAGGGAGGGAGGGGAGGTCAGCCCAGGCTTGCCAATGTGCAAAGGAAAAAATCCGGAGGCTGCCCAGATTTCTGCTGGAGCAGATTTTGTTGGGGCGTGGGGGGGGGGGTTGCTGGCAACCAGTGGGAGGGTGTGCGAGGGCATCTGAGGCATTCGGTGCCCCCTTTCCCAGCTCTGCCCCTGACACAGCTGGCGCTGCCAAGCCGGCACACAGTGACCAACCTTGGCCTGGCTGCTGTCTGTCGACTATCTGGCCTCCTGGAGCTGGACCTGACGGATTATATCCACATCACGGACGAGGGGCTGCAGCCCCTGCCTGGGCTGTGCAGGTGAGCGCCCTCCTCCCTGGCCTGCCCCCCTCACCTGCCCCAGCTCTTCCCCCCCCCCCCCCCCCCCCCCCCCGCCCCCCCCACTCCCCCCCCCCCCCAGCCCCTACCCTGGGAGCTCCTTAAAGAAAGGGGGGGAAGTCTCTGCCCCCCCAAATTGGATCCTGCGTGATCAGAACACAGAGCTGCCCTAGGGCCACAAAGGCAGCCTTAGCCTTGCCTGAGTGATAAGGAAGGGAGGGAGGGAGGAAAGGAAGGAAGGAAAGAAAGAAAGAGAAAGAATGAACAAAGAAAGGAGAGTGGGAGAAAGGAAGGAAAGCAAAAAGAAGCAAGAAGAGAAAGAAAAAAGAAAAAGAGAGAAAAGGAGGGAGGGAGGGAGGAATAAAGGAAAAGAAAGAAAGAGAAGAGGAAGGAAGGAAAGAATCAAAAAAGGAAAGGAAAGAGAAAGGAGGGAGGGCAAGAGAAAGAAATGAAAAAGAAGGAAAGAAGAGAAAGAACCAAACAGAAAAAGAAAGAAAAGAGGAAGGGAGGGAGGAAGGAAGGAATAGAGGAATAAAGCAAAAGAGAGAAGGAGAAAAAAGGAGGAAAGAAAAGGGAGGGAGGGAGGGAGGAAAAGAAAGAAAGAAAGGAGGGAGAAAGAAAAAGAAAGAGAAAGAAAGAAAGAAAGAAAGGAGGGAGAAAGAAAAAGAAAGAGAAAGAAAGAAAGAAAGAAAGAAAGGACTGGCACCCAGAGCCTCAGGGCCCCGGCGTAACTCTCTTGCAGGCTGCGGTGCCTGTCACTGGCCAACACGCGAGTGACGGATGACGGCCTGTGCCACGTCCGGCCCCTTCAGCTTCTGGAGCAGCTGCGCTTGGACCGCCTGCCCGTCTCCAGCGCTGGCGTGGCCCACTGCGTCAGGGGCCTCCGCCACCTGCAGGTATGGCTGGGTGTCGCCGCCAGGTAGTCCTCCACTTACGACCGTTCGTTTAGTGACTGAAGTTGCAAAGCGACTTTTCGTGCCAGCATCCCCGCAGTCCCGTGATCCAAACTCCAACACACTCGCATTTACGATGGTCCCAGGCGGGGGGAGGGTTACTCTCCTTCCGACGGGCGAAGTTGACGGGGAAAGCCCAATTCGCTTAATGACGGTGGGACGAATTGAAGAACGGCAGCGATTCGCTTAAGAAAGGCAGTGGGAAAAATCGTAAAACGGGGCCAATCTCCCTTAACAAACCTCTCACGTGGACGATAAATTTGGGGCTCCCTTGGCGTCATAAGTCAAGGACTCCCTGGAGAATTTGGCTGGATCGTTGGATTGGGGGGTGGTCTTTGCAGGACAGGGTGGTCTTCCCATCCCCCACCCCGACAAAGGGGGATCCTCAGTGCTGCAATTGGACCCCCTCTTTCCTAGGTGCTGAGTCTGGCCAGCACGGCCGTTGGAGACCCCGTAGCCAGGCTGGGCCTCGCTGAGTGCCGTCATCTGCTCAAGCTCAACCTGAGCGACACCTGCCTGACCGACAGAGGTAGGGAATGTGTGGGACCCCCCCACCGCCCTGTAAGGGGAACCCTCCCTCGAGCCAGCCCCCTTTCTTTCTTTCCTTTCTCTTCCTTCCTTTCTTCCTCTCTTTCTTTTTCTTCCTTCCTTTCTTTCCTTCTTTCTTGGTTTCTCTTTCCTTCCTTCCTCTTCTTCCTTCCTTCCATTTTCTTTCTTTCTTTTTCTTTATCTTATTTCCTTCCTTTTTCTTTCTTTTTTATTCTTTCTTTCTCTTTCTTTCCTTCCTCCCTCTATTCTCTTCTTCCTTCCTTCCTTCCTTCCTGGCCTTTCTTTCTTTCTTGTTTTGTTTCTTTCTTCTTTGTTGCTTTCTCTTTCCTTCCTCCCTCCCTCCTCTTCTTCCTTCCACTTCCTTTCTTTCTCTTTCTTTTTACTTTTTCATTCCTTCCTTTTTCTATCTCTCTCTTTCATTTCTTCCTTCCTTCCTTCCTGGCCTTTCCTTCTTTCTTTCTTTCTTTCTCTTTCCTTCCTTCCTTCCTCCTGCCTTCATCCAGCCTCCCTCGCCCCACTCCCCAAATCTTTCCAGGGCTCCGCTTCCTGGCTCAGCTGCCCCTTGTCCAGCTCAACGTTGATGGCTCAGGAGTGACGGCCGCCGGTGTGGCAGAGCTCGTGGCCACCTGCCCCACCCTCGCCCGCGTCCGGAGTGGCCGCCTGAGGCTCTTGTCACCAGCGGAGGAGGAAGAAGAGCCAGGGGACTAGGTGGCACATCCCTCCCAGCGCTACTGAGGAGATGCCTGGCACTCGGCATCCGTCTTCTGCCACGCTCTGCTCTTGGTTGGAAGGGAGCTTGGAGGTCTTCTAGTCCAACCCTGTGCTCGAGCAGGAGACCTTTGCAGAATCATAGCATAAGAGTTGGAAGGGAACTTGGAGATCATCTAGTCTGACCACCTGCTCAAGCAGACTCTTACACAATCATAGAATAAGAACTGGAAGGGACCTCGGTGGTCATCTAGTCCAGCCCCCTGGTCAAGCATAGGACAGAGTTGGAAGGAAGCTTAGAGGTCATCTAGTCCAACCCCCTGCTCTAGCAAGCTTTCCTCCGGAGAAATTGCAGGGGGGGCTGCCTTGCTGCAGACACCTCCCCCCACTTGGCCTTTGAGGATCAGCAGCAAAGAGGGGAGGGTTGGCAGTACATTTGCTGGGGCAGGGGGCTAGGGAGATGTAAAGCCCCCTCCCCAGTTCAGGGGTGCCCTGAGTGAGTGGTGGGGAAACCACAATGTTTGTGTCTTAACCTTTGTGTCCAATAAAACAGTGCCTTGTTTTTACTCTTGATCTGGATGCGGCCTTTGTTTTTTCTGGTGGTGGTGGTGGGGGGGGCAAAGGGAGGGGCCTTTCTGAGGAGGACAGCAAGGACAATGTCTTCTCTGTTCTGCCCCCCTCCCCAGCACCACAAGACCTGGCCTCCCAGTAACCAAATGGGGAACCAAATGTCAGGGGGAATGGAAGGTGGGGATGGGATGGGGCCCTTGGGGAGTCATCCAGGGCAGTCCTCAAGACGGCCCCTGTGCCAGGCTGGCACCCTGAAATTTGGGCATTCCGCAGCTAAGCTCCCCACTAGTGCCAGGAGCCTGAATAGCCTCCAGGGAGACATCTCGTGACCCAACTAGGGAATGTCATCAATGCTAGAAGAGAGAGGGGGGGTTGGGAGGAGGAGGGGGAGGAATGGAAAAGGACTTTGGAGGTCCTTGGTCAGACAGACAGACAGACAGACAGATTAATAGATATACAGGGATGGATGGATGGAGATAGATACAGATACATAGATGCTACAGATGAGAGAGATGATTGATGATAGATAGATAGATAGATAGATAGATAGATAGATAGATAGATAGATAGATAGATACAGAGTGAGAGGGAGAGATCAGGGATGGATGGATGGAGATAGAGACAGACATATAGATAGATAGATGATACAGATGAGAGAGAGAGAGAAGATGTGAGACACGTGTAACTCTTGGCTCGTCTGAGCCTCCTCCAGCCAACTCTTTTTGTTTTCCGAAGCGGCCATCTTCCGCCTCCGCTCCCTTCTCTCCCGCCCCGCTGCCAAACGGCCAACCACCAGGGTTTTCCTGCGTCCCGTTGCCAACTTCAACAGCGGTTTCGATGTGACCACTACTTCCTTATTGGGGGGAGGGCCCCCCGCTTCCCAAACATGGAACTTTGCCATACATACGAATCATAAAAGATTCCGGCCGGGAGCGAAATTCACTCGGTTTGTTGGATTGGGGTTAGTTTAAGGCAGGCGGCGGTTGGCTACAACGGGGCCGGAGGCTTTTCAGAGGTTGGGGTCTCTCGGGGCTGGATAGGGGTCTATCTGGTTGGGGTGTCTCGAAAGCCGTACCTTCCCACCCACCCCCACACACTTTAAGGCCCACTGGGGCAAACCAGAAGAAGACCGCTCTCTAAACTGGGCAAACTGGGAGGCTGTACTGGGAGGAAGGTGTCCGACCTTGAATTTGGAGAAGGGGGGGAGGAACAGGACACAAGGCGGGGTGGGCATCTTGAAAGCCCTCTCCCCATCCGCGACGGGCTTGGGTGGTCGTCGAGAGGAAGAAACAGCCAGAGGGGAAGGCGGTCTCGGAAGCGGTTTTGGCACGGGATGGTGCTTTGCCGAAGGGACCGGGGGTGGGGAGTAGGGGGCTCATTCGCCTCTGCTCGGCAACGGTGAGACCCCCCACTCACCAACCCACCCCGGAGTCCAGAGGGGTTTGAGCAGACTTGGGGACAAGAGTAGGGGGCTTCAGAGGTGGCAGAGAAAGACTGCGCAGGCGCGGGAGGGGCCTTCCCCCCATTTTGTGGGGGGCGCCCCTTAACTATCCGTTGGGGGGATGAGCTCCGGCTGCCTCGCTGGAACCCGCAAGGAGGCGGAGCGGAAAAAAAAGAGGCGAGGCGAGGCGTTGGCCGTCTCCACTTTCGCTTTCGCTTTCAGGGACTTTAGCTGAAGGAGCCACGTAGCCCCGCAGGGAAAGGAAACCGGGCGGCGAGGTCGCAGAGCAAGACGGAGCCCCCCTCCACGGCGCAGGCGAGAAGGGAGGGTCTCGGGCACGTGGGGGTCCCGCAGGGAGAGGCACCCCCCCCCAGACCCGCAGAACCCCCCCCCCCCACACACACTCGCCTCCCTTCGGCCGGGATAAGCTCTCAGCTCTCTCCCCCCCCTCCACCCCGATTGCTTTGCGGGCCCCCCACCCGGGCCGTGGGGAGGAAAGGCGCCCCCGCCCCACCCCGCTTCCCTTCCTGCTCGAGGATCGCCCCGCGTTGCTTTATATCCGGAGAAGCTCTTTTGCCTTTCGGTGGGGCAGGGGAGGAAAGAGTGGGGCAGTGTCCTTCCCTTTGCGGGGAGGATGGGGGGGATGCAGACTCTTCGGGACCCTCGTGTAAAAGCGTCGGGGATCTCTTGAATGTGGCGGGAAGAAGGCACGGGATCTCCCTGCTCCCCACAGAAGAGCCGCTGGGAGAGGCGTCGTCGTGTGGGTCGGCCGTGGGGCGATAAAGGAGCAGCGCTCCCCAGGAGCCGTGCGCCCCCAGCCCCTCCTTCCACTCAGGAAGAGGGGAGGTCTTCCGCATCTTCAACCTGGAAGTCAGGAAAAATTTTCTAAGGCTGAGAACTATTAACCAGTTCTTTGTTAATTAACAATTGGCAATGAAGCTTGGCACCAGAAGTTGTGGGCGGCTCCAACACTTTTCAAGAGGAGACTGGGCGGCCATTTGTCTGGAATGGTCAGGGGGGGCTGTCTCCTGTCCGAGCAGGAGGTTGGACTAGATGACCTCCAAGCTCCCTTCCAGCTCTCTTCTGATTCTGGTTCCCTCTCTTCCGCCCCAGGCTAAGGGAATCCCCCTGGAACTACAAGCAGCCAAAAATGACCTACCAGTCAACTTCAGAGACGGCTCGGGTAGATCTGAGATCATCTTCCGAAACGGTTTGTGTGTGTGAGAGAGAATGTTTTGGAAAAGGGGAAATGCTCAGAGTTTGGGGTCCCCGAGAAGCCTCCAGGCCAGTTTGGGGTCCCCCACTCCTGCTCCAAACCAGCCCACTTCTTGTTATCATAAGCAGCAAGGGAGGTTCTGCTGCTTAATTATGCAGTGTCCCTCCCCCAAGGAATGGGGGTCCTCCTGCCCCACTTCCCCCCTCCTGCCTTCCTTCTCTCCTTGCCCCTCCTTTGCTCCCCTCCTGGGTCCCTTCAGAGCATCCCAGGCCCCCCTTAGCTGGGGGAGGGGCTACAGAGCAGCTTAGGGCCGGTGCCTTGAATGGGGCGGGGGACTAGGCTGCGGTTTCTGGGGAAGGGGCAGATGACATGCCAAGGCCTCCAGGTGTCGAGAGCCCTGTCTGACCCTTGTTTCCTTTCCGCTCTTCCAGGAAGCCACAGATGAGAAGTCCACACTGGGTAAGCGAGGAGGCAATGCCTGGCATTTGGAGGGGGGATCTTAGGGGGGGTCAACATCCTTTGAGAGCCAGTGGATTCCAGTTCAGAAGCACTACGCTGGATCGGTCTCTCCCCATAGCGACGGACAGAGCCTTTGCTGGGACGCCCAGAGAAGGCTGCCTTGGGCCTTCTGTGGCGACCTCTTCCCCACTCCTGAGCTGCCCCCCCTCCCTTCCTGAGGGTCTCTGCTGCCCACCAACGGTCCCCTCTGGCCTCCGTCCACAATCTGCTGGACTTTAGGGTCTTGGAGAGTCGGAGGAGGGAGGGGAAATGCAGGACATCCATGGAAGGCAGCCATCTTATTGGTGGGCTGGGAGGAATAGGCAGGCAGGAAGAAGGGGCTGCCATGGGGCGCATATGGGTGGGGAAGTTTGGGCCTTGGATGGACCGATTTCAGCAAACTCTCTGGATCGACCGGATAGGATCCTTCACAATTCCCGTACTCTACACAGCTTGTCCGCACTGTAGGTTTGATCTTGCTCTGCCCGAAACAAATCAAGTTGTAAGCCGGCTTGCAAACCTTGGGGGGGAGACGGGGAGGGTCAGTCCTAGTTGGTCAGGCCTGTGTCTGTATCTGCCCTCTCCCTCCCAGCCCAGTGGGTCAGAGATCCTGCCGCAGCCCTTCATTAGCAGTCCTAAGTCTCTTCCGGGTGACTCAACTTGGACCAGGGGTGGAATGCTACCGGTCCTCACCGATTCGGGTGAAGCGGTAGCAGCACTAAACTCTGCCCACCCGCCCGGACATCATTACTTCCTGGTTTTAACCAGGAAGTAACCTGTTTTTGACCCTCTGCGCATGCGCAGAAGGCCGCAAGTGTGTGTCCACGGGTCACGCACTTCTGAACCTGTAGGGAAGGTAAGCAGATTTCATCCCTGACTTGGACCCAGCTTTGCTGGTGACATCTGGATGCAGTGGCCGTTTTCGGACATACAGTGGTGGGGCACTGAGGTGAGGACTCACTCTTGGGACCCAGGGTTTCCCCTGAAACCAGAAGGTTGTTTTGCTATTTTGCGTTTTGTCGTTTAATCCGCCGAGTCTTGCTAAAGTGGAGTTTCCGTGTTGTGAGAATCTGTGCGGCTGAGCAGCCCAATTTAGCAGTTCTGGGAGAGTCACGACAATCCATCATTAAACCACATCAGGGCAGAGGGGACTCTTCCAAAATCATCACCCTTTTCAGCCTCTTCAAGGACGCCCCGATGTGTTGGATTATAGGCCATCCCCCCATTTCTTCCTGGGCATGTGAGAAATGTCTCCATTCCTTTTTGTAACATCATCTTCCAAACTCACAGGGGAAGACACCGAACTCCGGCTGATCCTGGTCGGAAAATCCGGAGGTGGGAAAAGTGCTACGGGCAACACCATCTTCGGCCGGAAGGAGTTTGAGTCCCTCGTGGCAGCAAAGACCACCACCCTGCGGTGCCAAAAGGGGCAGGGGGCCTGGCAGGGTACAAGAATTTCCGTGATAGACACGCCCGCCATTTTTGATTCTGAAGGCAACGATGAGATTGTGCGACGAGAGATCATGGCTTGTGTCGAGCTCTCCCGGCCTGGCCCCCATGCTCTGATTTTTGTCACCCAGGTGGGACGCTTCACCGCCGAAGACAAGGCTGCCGCAAAGTGTGTCTGGGATATCTTTGGGGCTGAGTCCGCCAGGCACACAATTGTTCTGTTCACCTGCGTGGAGGATTTGTGCAGGACCCCCCTGAAGGAGTACGTTCAAAAATCTGACAACAGGAATCTGCGGGACCTGATCCGGCAGTGCGGGAATCGCGTCTGTGGGTTCAACAACAAAGCCAAGGGAGCCGAACGGGAGAGTCAGGTCTCGGAGCTGATGAAGATGGTGCAGAGAACCGTTTCGGAGAACGGAGGGAGATACTACGTCAACCGGCTGTACAAAATGTCCAATGTACAGGAAGAACACGTCAAAGCGTTCCTGACCAATGACAGAACAGGCAGAGAAAGGGCAGTCCGGAGACCCTGGAGCTCCACCAGAATTGTGACATTGGCTGCGTTGAGTTGCCTTTTGCTGGCCATTGTGATCGCCATTATTCTCATGATCCACTTTTTGTGAAGGGACTTCTCCCTTGACCCTCTGTAACCGTCTAGTTCCGTCCCATGACCGAACCGGACGGATACAGACGTCGACAGATAGTTAGGGCTGCGAAAATAACAATCGCAACCAGCCTGCCTTCCCTTGAGGACTTGTATATTCCATGGGTCAGAAGGAAGGCTGTGAACATATCTACAGACCCCTCCCATTCTGGACAGAAATCTTGTTTCGATTTTCCCCCTCAAGACGATGCTATAGGGCAGGGGTGTCAAACTGGATTTCTTCGAGGGCTGGATCAGCATTGTAGTTTGCCTCTGCAGGCCAGCTGAGGGGGGAGACGGGACGGACGCCTCCTGCAGCACCCTGCTGGCCAAAGCTCTATTTTGGCTACCAGAGGCGGGCTGGTCCTTTGCTATTTCAAGGCCAGCCCCGTGGGCCAGATTTTAGCAACCCGCAGGCCAGATCTGGTTTGACACCCCTGCTATAGGGCATTGCACGCCAAAACCACGAGACACTGGGACAGTTCCCCCACCCCACCCCACCCCGTGCCATCACTGCTGAACAACTAATTCCCACAACATTTGTCAAACTACCTAGTAAGGCTGTATCACCTATTATCCTTCTCGCCTTTCCTGTACACTTCCTCCTTATCTTCTCACGGTTATCACTTTATGGCTTGTATCTTACCATTTATATTGCTTTGTTTAGCATCCTACGAGGATTGCTGTCGACTGCTTGTTTAGTAACCTAGGACTATCACTGAGTGTTGTATCTTAATGGTGATTATATTTTATGATTATGGTGCTTTTATCACATTGCTTGTACGTACACTGAGAGCTTCTGCACCGGAGACAAATGCTTTGTGTGTCCAATCACACTTGGCCAATAAAGAATATTCTCTTTTGTTCTGTCCCGTTTTCTATTCTGTTCTGTATTCTTTCTTTATTCCTTATTCTTTCCAAAGTTTTGGGAGGGAGCAGAAGATGCTATGTTTGGATGGGGGAGGGAGAGGAGGAGAATGGGCAATCCCCCTCACTTCGACATCTTCCCTCTTAGGGGTGTCACTTCACATCTTCAAGGAAAAATGGTTGAGCCTGTGGGGGAGGTGCTTCCTGCCAACGAATGGGAATATCTGTATCCCAGGATAATGTTGCAAGGGACACATTCACAATTCCTTATGTAAAGAGAGAGAAAACGTTTTCTCTTCCTAATTTAACGCAGAATTGCTTGCCTGCAAAGGGAAAATCCCAAACATTTTTGAAATTTATAATATATAAATTATAAATTATTGGGTGGGCTGAACCTGAAATTTTTACTCTACGTAGATGATACCCCCAGATTTACCGAAGGAGCAGAAATATCATTGCATTTCACCAAAACAAAACTGGCCTCTCTTTAGACCAGGGGTCTCCAAACGTGGCCACTTTAAGACTTGTGGACATGGACTTCCACTCCCAGAATTCCTCAGCCGGCAAGTTTGTAAACCCTTGAGTTAGGAAAGGGAATTGACCTCCTTGTTTGAGAGATCCCCCTTCAAAGCTGCCATCCTGAGCCAGGGAGAGCAGGTCCTGTGCCAATCAAGTAGACAGCTGAAATTTGTTTCCTACAGGCCTAAGAAGCAGCTACTACAAGGACTAACAGACAAGGGCATCCAGTCTGGGCTCATTCCCAAGCAATTCAGATTTCCAAAAAGGGAGGCCCAGAAGCTTCTCAACCCAATCAATGTCTCCTCTGAAGGAAATGAAAGGTGTGTAAATCATGGAAAAGGGGGCAGGATTACTTTCCGATTTGCCAAACTCTTTGGGTCCCTGGATAAAAGCCTCACTATGGAAAGTGTGGCTCTACAGCCCCACCAGCCTCAGGCGAGCGCCTGAACCCCCCCGAAGGCTGGGAACGGTGAACTGGGCTCTATAAGCAAGGGAGCTTGGCACTTCCTGGATCCCAGGTACAAGCGGGATACTACAATGGATGCTGTCAGACCTGCCACTACTTAACACCTCGAAATAGAAACGATCCTCGGTTCCTATTTGTCAAGAAAGGCATAATTAATGCAGAGCCAGAACTGAGGACCGATCACCAAAATCCCCAGGTTCAACTTTTCCTTTTCTTGACTGCCTCCCATCACTGACCCCACCCCCATGACCAATCAGGTTCAAGCAAGATGTTTTCAAAAACTTCAAGCATTGCAACGGTATTCTATTCGCCTCCCAACCAAGTGTCCTTGAAGCACCATCTCCGGGTTACTCGCGGTTACTATCGCTTTCCCTCCACAGTCTCTCCTAGAGACCAGGGCAAGCTGCATCCTTCACCCATTTATCTCCCAGCTGCGTGACCTTGAAGCAGCATCTTGGGAAGACATGGCAGTTACCTTAGCTTTCCCTCCAGCACCCACCCTCCCAGAATTCAGGACAAACTGTCACTGCATGGTAGCAAAGCACAAGTAAAAGGAGCAGAAGATGGCAGCTGACAGATGCTCACTTGTGACCTTTCCACCACTTTCACTTTCAACTCAGTTGTTTGCTGAACCTTGCAGTTTCTCGGAAGCTTGTTGGCATGTAGCCAGCGGGAAAAGGGCGAAGTCCGAAGCTGTGTTTCATTTTCTCAGCTTCGCCTTCTGTTTCTCTTATCGTGTTTTCCCAAAAATAAGACCCTGTCTTTTATTTTGGTGGGCTTATTTTGGGGGAAACACAACTACAGGGTGATCAGCCTGGCTGGGCACCCTGCCCCCAAGTATGCCCACAAGAGGCGGTGAGCGTGTTGGGACCGATGGTATCTGGCAGCAGCTGCAGCCCGCTGGCCCCTTGATCAGGGTACTCTGGGGTTGTGTAGCCCGTGCAGCGCAGGTGAGTTGATTCGCTGTCCAGGCAGCAGGGGCAGAAGAACGGGGGGCAGGCAATCCGGACACGGTCAGGCCACGGGAAAGCTGAGTCAGTGGGGCAGGGCGGGCAGCCATAGGAGTCTCATCTTAACAGGATGGTACCGGCAGCAGAGGCACAGGGCAGAAGGCAGACGATCCCAACGTGCAGCACGGGCAAGAAACAGAGATACGAAGGCAAAACTCCCGTGGCCAGCCGCCCACACCAGCCCACCTGACTTGGCTTTCCCGTGGCCTGTGAGGCACATCCGGATCACCTGCCTACCTCACACCCCACGCCTCTGCCTGTCTGCTGCTTAGATAGGGAATCAACTCACACTGCACTCCATGGGTTGTGGCTGCTGCCGGAAACCCTCAGCTTGCGTGCCTTGCCGCCTCCTGTACTGGCCGTGCCCCCCACCCTTCACCAGAGCTTCCTTTTCAGGTAGGTCTTATTTTTTGGAAAAACACAATAATAGTTGGCCACAGTGCCCTTTGCCTGGTGTGACCGTTTTCAAACGATTTGCTCAGCATTTTCTGTAGGGGTCCCCCCCCCCATTGCTTCCTCTTGCAGTTTTGCCCGTGCAAACTAGCCCAACGTTTGTAAAAGTCACAAGTGGATTGTGGGAGGGTGGAGAGGGATAGGGGGACATCCCCGTCCCCCTCAGACACTGCAGGGCTGAAGCTCCAAATATCCCTCAAGGTCTGTTTGATTTTCCAGTCAGAGCTGGACACCTGCCCCCCACCCCCATCCAGCCCTCGTGCGAAGAAGGCGTGGGAAGGAAGGAGGTGCATTCACACAGAATTAGAATTAGAATAATAAATAGAACAGAACAGAATTAGAGAATGGAATGGATAGAATAGAATAGAATAGAATAGAATAGAATAGAATAGAATAGAATAGAATAGAATAGAATAGAATAGAATGTAGAATAAATTCTTTATTGGCTAAGTGTGATTGGACTTTGTCTCCGGTGCATAAGCTCTCAGTCTACATACAAGCAACAAGTGATAAATCATGATCATAATCATAAAATACAACCATCATAAATCAGAAGATACAAGTAGTGATAGGATACGAAGTAAGCAGTAGGATACGAAATAAAAGCCATCGGCATACATCCTGAGATGCAAACAGCAAAATTATAGTCGTAAGAAGCCAAGGAAGTAGGTCATAGGAAAGATAAGAAGGATAATAGGGGATACAGCTCTACTAACGTAGGTAGTTTGGCTTCCCAGGGCTTAGGACACTGTTGAGAGCTGGTTGTTTAGCAGAGCAATGGCACCGAGGGGAAAAACTTTGTGTCTGGTTGTTTTGCTATGCGATGCACTACAGCGTCATCTCGAGACGTCGAAACAGTTTCTGTGCAGGGATGCGAGGGGGCCTGTATAGATGTTTTCTCAGAAGCCCTCTTTCTGGCCCGTTCAGCCTACAGGCCCTCAAGGGGAGGCAGGCTGGTTGCCGATGGTTTTTTCTAAACGGTTCTAACTATCCGTTAAAATCCATGTCCGTCTTGTTCGGGCCAAACCAGATCCTTCCAGAGGTGCAAATGACAGACTTTGTCGAACTCTGATCAGCGGCTCCTCGGACAGCCTGAGCTTCCTGAGTTGGCGCAGGAAGTCTGTTGTGCTCTTTGGATGACATGGTTGATGTTAGGCATCCATTTTAAGTCCTGAGATATCACGGAACCCAGAAACGTGAAGGTCCTTCCTGTTGACGCTGCGTTGTCCAGTATTGTTAAGAGGTGGTAGAATCGGAGGGCTGCTTCTAAAATCTACCATTATTTCTACAGTTTTGAGCATACATCGAATAACAGAGTTGGAAGGGAGCTTGGAGGTCATCTAGTCCAACCCCCCACCCCCACCCAAGCAGGAGACCCTACTATACCATTTCTGACAGATGGCAGTCCAGTCTCTGAAATGTATTTGAATGTAAGTAGCTTGGTGCAGGAGTTGGGCTGTGGGGCTCAGCTCCAAGCTTGGCAATTTGGTTGGAGACATGTCGTCACCATTCGAGGAGATGCCGTTGGTGTGCTTTGAATTGTGAAAAGTCTAATCTCTTCTTCAAAGTCTCAAGTGATGAAGCTCCCACAACTTCCGAAGGCAACTTCTGTTCCATGGGTTGATTGCGCTGTCAGGAAATGTCTCCCTATTTCCAGGTTGAATCTCTCCTTGATCAGTTTCCATCCGTTATTCCTTGTCTGGCCTTCAGGTGCCTTGGAAAATAGTTTGACCCCCTCCTCTCTGTGGCAGCCCCTCCAATATTGGGACACTGCTATCATGTCCTCCCTGGTCCTTCTCTTCACCATGCCCAGTTCCTGTAACCGTTCTTCAGGCCCCTAATCCTCTTGGTTGCTCTTCTCTGTACCCTTTCTAGAGTCTCAATATCTTTTTTTAATAGTGTGGTGACCAAAACTGGACCCAGGAATCAAGATTGTTCTGGCCCCATCCCAGAGTCAATTGTTCAACTTCCCGTCTGTCTGCAGATTTGTTGTTGTCTCGAATGACTGAAACCAATCATCCTTGTATTAGCTGCAAACTTCACTACTTTAACAGAGGGATCCTTTGCTGGGATAGAGAGAGAAGAGCAATGGAGAGACGGGGTGGGTGGGGGAGAAACATGATAGCGACATTCCAGTACTTGAGGGGCTGCCCCAAAGAAGAGGGGACCAACCTATTCTCCAAAGCACCAGAGGGCAAGGCAAGAAGCAATGGATGGACACTCATCCAGGGGAGAAGCAAGCTAGAATTAAGGAGGAATTTTCTGACAGTGAGGACAATTAACCAGTGGAACTGCTTGCCATCAGAAGTTGTGGGTGTTCCAGTGATGGAAGTTTTTTTTAAAGAAGAGATTGGACAGGCCCTTGTCTCAAATGGTATTAGGTTTCCTGCTTGAGCAGGGGGTTGGACTAGAAGACCTCCAAGGTCCCTTCCAGCTCTATTCTGATTCACTCTAGGGTTCCCAAACCTCCGGGTCATGGCTGTCCCATAGATGCTTTTTCACAAAAGGCCACTGGGCCTTTCTTGGCATTTTCCCTGAAGAGGTTTCGCTTCTCATCCCTGAAGCTTCTTCAGAAACTCAGGAAGCTTCTGGGATGAGAAGCAAAACCTCTTCAAGGAAAAAATGAAGTCCAGTGGCTTTTGTGGGGGTGGGGGTGGGTGGGAAAGCACCTTTGGGGATGAAGCAGCCAAGGAAAGCCATGGCCACCTACTCCGACCCAGATGTGTTTGAATGGCATCTTCCATGGGTCTCCATTGGTGAGGAGGGGGCTCCTGGATCACAGGAGGATACATGCAGGTGCTCTTTTTTTGTCCTCTTCCAGCATGTCTTTGGTGTAGTAGGGGTTGGTTTTGTTGTGTTGCGTGAGGTCATCCACCATCTGAATCAGCTCCTTGACCTGATCCTCCCGTTCCTTCCCTTTGGCCTTGTTGTTGAAAGCCAGGCACCGATTGCCACAACTCTCGATTTGCTCCCTCAGAGCCGCCACGCTCTCGTCTTGAAGTACCTCGGAAAGAGGGCGCCCCTCCAGGTCTTCCTTTCGGGTGAACAAGACGATCATGTAGGCCTTGGCCTTAAGGCTGAAGATGTTTTTGATGAGCTGGGCAACCTCCATCTCCTCCTTGCTGAAGTGGCCCAGACGGATGACCTGTATAATGACGTGGGGACCCGGGTAACAGAAGCTCGTGCATTTCCTAATTTCTGCAAGCGTCACCACCTGCGAGTATTTGGTATCGAAAAAGCCCGGCGTGTCAATCACAGCCAGTGTCCTTTTATCCGGCAGGGTACCTGTTTCCTTTTTACACTGGGCGGTGACGGATTTGGCCTCCATCTTGGAGATAAATGCTTCCCTCCCTAAAATGGTGTTCCCGGTGGCACTTTTCCCATTGCCCGTTTTGCCGACCATGACGATCCTCACGTCTTGAACTGAAAGGAAGAGAAGGGACAAAGGGGTCAGAGGCCTCCCATTCACTCGCGGGGAAGAGAAGGAACGGGAGTAAAGGGCAAGAACGTGATGGGCAGCAGGGAGAAAGCAGAACGGCTGAACTCGTTCTTTCCATCCGTCTTTCCATAAAGGGAAGAAACAGTCCCACCTGTCAAAAACAGTCCTGTAAAAAAACAGAGCTCTGTTTTCGCTGGCAGGGGCACCACGGTCCAGTCCTTCACTATTTCCAGGGCAAGCCCTCTGGCGGGTCAGGTCTAAGCACCCCGTGGACCGGCTCCGGCTCCTGGGCCTTGAGTTTGACACCCCTGCTTAACTAATATAATGTGCCCGCCAGGTTTCCTTGCTTTCCATCAGCCGAGGTCGCAGGGGAGGGGCGGGGGGGGGTAGCGGTTATCATTAAAGGAGGTCTGAGACCGAGGGAGGCCACTGTTCCTCAGACGGCTGGCTGTGAATCCCTCCTTGTGAAATGGGGTCATGGGGTTCAGATGGGTTTGCTGATCACGTACCTGGCTCCCTGCCACGTGGCAACAGCCCTGCCCGAGCTACTCAACGTCATCGCCGCGGTGGCGGTTGATACCCCTAAGCTTATGGTCATGGGGGATTTCATGTTCGCCGGGGTCTCCAAGCTTCAAGAAGAGACCGGACTGCCCATCTGTCAGAAATATCCTCGAACCATTGTACCAGATTTTTCAAAGATCCTGGAGCACCAGGGAAACTACCTGAAGCTTGGAAAAGAGCTGATGTGGTCCCTATCTTCAAAAAAAGGGGGAGGGAATGTGGATCCAGGAAACTATAATTTATATTTTATATAGTTGAAGATATAATTTACAGGGACTTCAATAAGGCATTTGACAGAGTAGACCATGACCTGCTTCTTGATAAGCTAGAAAAAAATGTGGGATAGATGGTATCACCCCCAAATGGATTTGTAACTGGCTGACAAACTGTACTCAAAGAGTAGTCCTTAAATGGTACTACGTCTACATACAGTAGAGGGAAGTATGCAGTGGGGTACCACAAGGTTCTCCAATATCTTCAGAAATGACTCAGATGAAGGAATAGAAGGGGAACTCGTCAAATGTGCAGAGGACACTAAGGTGACAGGACTAGCCAACACCCTGGAAGAGATGCTTAAGAAGATGGTACCTCCCACACTCTCCTAACTGAGATTTACCTGACTCAGCTGCACCCATGTTGCCGACGCTCGAATGGTCCTTCGCCGATTTTCAGGGCTTCTAACAGGAAGAGCAAACCAAGCTGAGAATGGTTCGAGAAGCTTCTTCTGGCAGGCAGGAAGTCACAGGAGTGAAAATAAACAGAAAAAAAGGGGGAGGAGAGGTGAGGTGAGGCTGGGCTGTTTGCCAGAGTCTTTCTGTTGTGACTTCCAACACCTCCATTTTGCAAACATAAATACGGGTTCTTCCGTTACTACCACAGTTGAATTCAGTGCTTCTGTCATTTTAACCCCATTTTACGGCCTTTCTGGCCACCGCTGTTAAGTGAACCCCACAGTGGATGTGTTAGTCCCCCGGTTGTTAAACGAATTGGGTTCCGCCCCGTGGGCTTCACTTGCCCGAAAGTCGCAAAAGGGGATCATGTAACCCCGGGATGTAAGTATGAACCCATTGGGAAGCTTCTGAATTTTGATCCCGTGATCACGGGGAGGCTGCAACGGTCGTAACCATGAAAAAACGGTCCTAAATCACTTTTTTCAGGGCTGTTGTAATTTTTGAACGATCGCTAAATGAGCGGTCGTAAGTCAAGGACTGTAATGATGAGCACGGCGCCTGTTTTCATAATTTCATGCATTTCCCAGGCTTCAATGTGTTTTTAACATGGAAAACGTTCACCATGTATGTTTTTTTTAAGCTAAATCGTTTGTCCAACAGGTCATCCCTGTAATAAATATAACTCCGATTTTAATTTGCTTTAAAGCAGGGGTGTCAAACTGGATTTCATGGAGGGCATCAAGGTTGTTTGACCTTGGAAAGCCAGGGTGGGTAGTTGGGGGAGGGCGTGGCCTGGGTGGGCATTTGACACAGGCTCAAGATGCGCTTTTCCCCTTCTTTCTTTCCACAGTACTCCCTGGCCTCCAGCAGCAGCCTACTGGGCTAACAATGAGGCCTCTGTGCGGCCCGTTTTGGCCAGCAGAGGCACCGCAAACTGGTCCTTTGAAATTTGCAGGCCGGCCCTGTGGGCCAGATTTAAGCACCCGACAGGCCCGATGTGGCCCACAGGCCTTGAGTTTCTCACCCCTGCTTTAAAAGTTAATCTGAACCCATTGATGCTTTACTCCCCAAAATTGCAAAAACAGACTCCAGCAGGGAAAATCCCGCATTCTGGTGGCTTCTGCCAGGACCCCCTTCCTTCTGCTCCCTGCCCTATGTCAGGCTGCCAAGGGAGAACACCCCTCCGCGTACATCCCGAAGGGCCAGGCCAACATAGCCTGAAATGGCTGGAGATGCTTTCCGTGGAGGGCCTGCCCAGCTGCCCGGCAGGAGGAGAGGACTTGTGCAGCCCAGTTCCCAATGGGCCACAGCTTGGTACCGGAAGTTGGGGACCCCAGAGAGGAATCAGGAATGCGAATATTATCCGATTCCAAGGGGATAGAAAAGAGAAATAACCGACCACGGAAAAACCTATTCTTCAACCTCCCTGCCATATTTTGCTCTGAATTAGAAGAACAATTCTGATGTGATGTCTACGGATCTACTCCTCCAATTTTGATGGTTCATTTAGTGGCTGTCCAACGTTATGACAGCATTGCAAAAAGGGCCTTATGGTGACTTTTTGCACCAACAACCATTGCACCATTGCCCGCTTGGCAATGGACTCGTATTTATGACGTTCCCTGGGTCACACGATCCCTCTTTGTGACCTTCTGAGGAGAGGAAGTCAGAGATGCTTCGCAGCCGGGGTTAAAATGGAAGTCCGGATTGTCCTTCAGCTATCCAGGTGTGCCCCCCCCCCAAACCTCAAAGAAACCATAGCTACCTCTCTGTGTTGTTTCTGCTTTTGTCTGTCCGGGTGGAGAAGTTTAGGAAATCCGGGAAATGAAATTAGGATATTGTGGGCAGGAAAATCAGACATATTGTGAAATCAGTGAGATCTTTTCCTCTATGCCAAAAAACCCCACAAACCTTAAAAAATTAGTCCTGTTTGGAGTAGTTTAACCATTTGGGGTCCAGGAATATTAATATAAATATTCTTTGTATCGTTTTAACATCGTTTTAACACAAAACTTTGAAAAGGAACCCAGAGTTCTTGAGGACACAGAGTAGAGACCCCTCCCCTCTACTCTCCCTCCCTCCCACAGGAACATCCTCCTTCCCCCCTCCAAAAAAGAAGTAAAGGAGGGACCGGCCAAAGTCCCGGCCGCCTGCCTGATGCCCAGCCTGAAACCAGGACAAGGCGGTTGGAAGCGTTATTTAGTTATTTATTTATTTATTTATTTGTTTGTTCAATTTATATGCCGCCCTTCTTCGGAGACTCAGGGTGGCTTACAATGTGTTAAGCAATAGCCTTCATACCTACTTAGTAAGGCTTTCGCCCCCCTACCCCCCAAGCGGTGTTCTTTTTTATACAAAGTCATCTTATTGCCCCCACAATCCGGGTCCTCATTTTACCTACCTCGGAAGGATGGAAGGCTGAGTCAACCTTGAGCCTGGCGAGATTCGAACTTGCAGTAATTGCAGGCAGCTGGTGCTACTTAACAGCACTTTAGTCTGCTGCGCCACCAAGATTCCCCCACCCCACGCCGCACCCCTGCACTAGCGACCCTGGCGGGGAGACGCAGCCCACCTGAGTCGTGGAAAGCCGGGCAGACACTCCGTTGACTCCCGCGTTCCGGGCTCGACTGAGCAACCCGAAGAAACAACGCGCGCTCTTCCAGCTTTCTTCTCCGCATTTTCGCTTTCGCTCTGGTCGGGTCAGAAAACGAACAGAAGTAGAGGGGGGGGGGAGGAAGGAAAGAAGGGCGGGTCTCATCCCTCCATCTCCTCATTTGGGCTCCGGCCAGGTCACCAATCAAAAGAGATCTTATAGAATCACAGAATAAACTTGGTGGGGACCTTGGAGGTCATCTAGTCCAAACCCCCTCCTTCTCAAGTAGGAGAGCCTTACAGAATCCTAGAATCACAGCTGAGAGCTTGGAGGTCATCTAGTCCAACTCCCTGCTTAAGTAGGAAGTCTACAAATCGCTCAGGATTCAATTCCCCCGATGAGGTCCATTTTATCCCCGATCGGACCAGGCCTTCGGTTCCGACTAAAAACAGGGCGATGTACACATCCAAAAAAATAATAATCCAGATTTATTTTAATTTCTCCGTCTACACATTTTGGCGAGTGGTTTTCCTGTCGCGACGCTGTTCGCCGGGGTCTCCAAGCTTCAAGAAGAGACCGGACTGCCCATCTGTCAGAAATATCCTCGGCTCTCCTGCTTGGGGGGTTGGACTAGATGACCTACAGGTTCCCTTCCAACTCTGTTAATCTGTCAATGCCCACCCACCCCCAAAATAAACGGAGGGGGTGGTAAGAAGTCCATCCCCAGTGTGTGAAGGGACCCGCCCCCTCCCACAAGACATCCCCCCTTGGTTTAGGCCTGAGAGGGGAGAGGTGGAGGAGGGGCGTCCTCCGCTGGGGAGTTGCGTAATCACTCCATTAGGGCTTGCCAGCCCCCCACCCCCAGATTCATTAACGGACTGGAGCAGGCTGGGACCCCCCCCTCCCCTCCCCGTCCATTCCAGACATCGAGTAAGCCGCTTCTTTCCAACGGCAGGGAAGGCAGGAAAGCGAAAGTGAAAATCTGCGGACGGCGGCGCTGCTTGGAAACCACGTGATTGAAGAAAAGAGGCCGAGAAAAGACGCCCACCCCACCCCACCGCACCCGCAGGAAAAGGGGGGAGGCGCTGCCCACAAAGAGGCCGTGTTTGTCCCTGGGTCTCTTAAGGGCCGTTGGGGGGAGTTGCTTCCCCCCCCCCCCCCCCCCCACTCCATTCCCGGCTGCTTCCCCCCCCCCCCCCCCCCCAGCGCTTCCTTTGTCCAAGGGGGGGGGAGGTGCGGGGGCGAGTGGGTCTTTGGCTCTGCTTCGTGGCTCGTTTGGTGTCCGCCTGCGGGGGAGGGCAGTTAGACTCCCAAGAAAGAGCCGCTGAAAGATAAGTCCGCGCAGAGGGAGGAGGCGGGGGTGGGGGGAAGAAATGGAGTTAGGTCAAGAGCCTCCTCCCCCCCCCCCCGCTAGAAGGAAGCAAAAGCGGCGCCGAAACGCTAGAGAGAAGAGAGCACCTCTCCGGCCCGTGGGCAGACGGACGGGCTGCCTGTCTTGAGCAAGGGAGTTGGACTAGATGACCTCCAAGGTCCCTTCCAACTCTGCTATTTAGTGGGCGAGTCAGGGGGGAGGGGGGCAGGCTGCAGTCCTTCTCGCCCCCTCCTAGGAAGGAGCCGCTGGCAGGTAAGTCCCTGCCAAGGGAGGAGTTGGGGGGAAGGGAGGGAGGACAGGAGCCCCCCCCCTCCTCAGCTGGATTTCGCTCTCCTCGGGTCCTTGGGCAGATGGATAGACGGGCTGCCTGAGTTGACCAGTGGGGTGGACTAGATGACCTCCGAGGTCCCATCCAACCCTGGGATCCTGCTAGCCCCCCCCCTGTGGCCCCGTCCCAGCCCAGAAGGGGACAAAGGAGTGATATCACACAGGGTGGGGGTGGAAACAACACGTGTCTTGTCTGTCCGTGCTTCTCTGGGGTGGAATTGTGCTGGAATGCGGGTGGCAAAGGGGCCTCACCCTCCTTTGGGGTCCTTGAAGACCATCCCTGTCAGCCGACAGCCCAGCTTCTTCCGTGGCCCTTGCCCCTTCCCGGATCTCCAAACAAAAGGTTAAAAAAGTCGAGAGCGCGCAGGGCTACATTTGGGTCTCTTGTGCCCACACAATGACTCCAAACTACTGGCCCGTTTATCCCCACCCTCCAGCTCCGCCTGCTCATCTCCTACACCCAGGCCGGGTCCGGCAGCTGGTTCTCCCTTCTGGGGCTTCCTCTCTCCCTGGTTGGCTTGAGGCCAGACGCGTAGAATGGAAGGGGCCCTGGAGATGCCGACCCTGGGTCGCCCCTTCCAGCTGGGGAGGCTCTACGACTGCCGCAGAGATTCCCTGATCCCAGGTAAGTATCCCCCCCCCGCCTCCTCCTGTTGCTCTGAGCCTCCTGGGGCACAGAAGGAGGCCGCTGGGCTCCCAGTGACTCTACCCTTAAGCCAGACTGGTGCTCCCAGGTAGCCGTGGACTCCTTGGGGGAAGGTCAGGCCCTTCTTCTGAGCCGCTCCAGGTCGGAGAAGTCGAGGGTGACTCACTATCCTCCCTGAAAAGGAAAATGTACGCCCGCCACTCATCATGGCGGGCCCTCAGCATTGTTGGAATGGAAGTAGAAAAAGAAGTAATAGAAATAGAAATAGGATGAGATGGGATGGGATGAGATGGGAGGGAATAGAATAGAATAGAATAGAATACAGAATACAGAATACAGAATAGTGTAATAGAATACAGAATGTTACGAGTTTGGAAGAAGTATCAATATAAGTTAAATTATAAGATACCTATATGGGCAATACCCAGACATGAGATAGAGAATATAAGTGTAGAACAAAAGCAGGAGGTGATTACCTATAAAGAGCTTCTTAAAATGGAAGGCGGTATATTGCAGTTAAAAATCTATAAAGGCATTAAAAGAAGAAAAAATAATTCAAACTTGGTTTCAGTATGGACAGTTGCAAGCTAGATGGAAAGAAGACCAGAGAATTGGTATCATGCAGAAGGAGGAAAATTTGGTAAAACAAATTAGAGATCAAAGCCAAATGCATATAAAAAGATTATATAATATATTGATAGAAATAGATTCAGAAACGGAATTAGTTAAGGATTGCATGATAAAATGGGCACAAAATATTCAGGAACCAATAATGATGGAAACTTGAGAAAAAATATGGGTTAGAAATGTGAAATTTACGCAAGCACAAAATTTAAGAGAAAATGTTTATAAAATGTTTTACAGATGGCATTTAGATCTTAAAAAGTTAGCTTGTATGTATCCGAATTTGCAATCTAAATGTTGGAGATGCGATTGTGATGATGCCACCTATTATCATATATGGTGGACTTGTAAAAAAGTTAAAGCATTTTGGATTAAAATATGGTGGATTATCCAAAATATTCTTAAAAAGAAGATAAGGTTTACTCCTCAGTTGTTTTTGTTGGGTATAATTACAGATTATACGGTTATAGAGACTAAATTGATTTTAAATTTAATAACTGCAGCTAGACTTTTGGTGGCGCAATATTGGAAAAAGGAAGATCTGCCTACTATTGAAGAATGGACATTAAAAGTAGCGAATTTTGCAGAAATGGCAAACATTTCAGCATATTTGAAAGATTATTCACAAGAAAGATATATATTGGAATGGAGAAGATGGATTGACTATATTCAAAACAAATATCAGACTAAAAAGTATCAAATAGCTTATGAATGAATAGAAAAATTAAGACTATTCATATCTAGTTAAGTAAAAGGGGAGTTAAAGTTTGAAGGGGGGATAGGAGTCCATAGATACTTAGTTTAGTTTAGTATATGATTGTTAATTGTTATATCCTGTATTTTGTTCTGCGAAGTTTGGGGGTGGGGGTGGGGGGGAGGGTAAGGAAGGGAGGGGGGGATAGGGAAATATTTGTAAAAAAATTTTTTGTAAAACTCTTTAATAAAAAGTAAGAATGGAATAGAATAGAACAGAGAACAGAACAGAACAGAACAGAACAGAACAGAACAGAACAGAACAGAATAGAATAGAATAGAATAGAATAGAATAGAATAGAATAGAATACAGAATAGTGGAATAGTGGAATAGAATACAGAATGGAATAGAATAGAACAGAGAATAGAATAGAATAAGAGAAGAGAAGAGAAGAGAAGAGAAGAGAAGAGAAGAGGGAATAGAATAGGGAATAGAATACAGAACGGAATACAGAACGGAATAGAATAGAACAGAGGAAGAGAATAGAATACAAATAGAATAGAATAGAATAGTATAATAGAGAATAGAATAGAATAGAATAGAATAGAATAGAATAGAATAGAATAGAATAGAATACAGAACGGAATACAGAACGGAATAGAATAGAACAGAGAAGAGAATAGAATACAAATAGAATAGAATAGAATAGTATAATAGAATAGAATAGAATAGAATAGAATAGAATAGAATAGAATAGAATATAGAACGGAATACAGAACGGAATAGAATAGAACAGAGAAGAGAAGAGAATACAAATAGAATAGAATAGTATAATAGAAAATAGAATAGAATAGAATAGAATAGAATAGAATAAATAGAATAGAATAGAATAGAATAGAATACAGAACGGAATACAGAACGGAATAGAAGAGAACAGAGAAGAGAAGAGAAGACAAATAGAATAGAATAGAATAGAATAGTATATATAGAAAATAGAATAGAATGGAATGGAATAGAATACAATAGAATAGAATAGAATACAGAACGGAATACAGAACGGAATAGAATAAAAGAATAGAACAGAGAAGAGAAGAGAAGACGAATAGAATAGAATAGAATAGATAATAAAAATAGAATAGAATAGAATAGAATAGAATAGAATAGAATAGAATAGAATGCAGAACAGAACAGAACAGAACAGAATAGAGAATGGAATAAACAGTCTTCTTTTTCATGAATAAACCCTCGTGCATGCCCTGAATGGCAACTTTAATGAAACTTCCTTGCAGATGTGACTTTGTGGGATGCTGACCTTTTGCAAAACGGGGTAGTGGCAGAGGACCGACCCCACAAGATGGACTGTCAGGTCCTCCCCTCGGAGTCTCTCGAAAGCAAAGCCTCTGCCCTCCATCTAAAGGGTCCTCTGAAGGCCAGTTTCTTTGGGGGGCTTTTTGAAGTGGGGGGAGCAGCCACCTACCTGGAAGAGAATCCGCCCTCCAGGAGCCACGCCCGTGGGACCCTTCACCTCTCCGTTACTACTGAACGGAAGCTTTTGGCGACAGATCTGCTCCACGGGGAGTGTTTCTTACCAGGGAGCATTCGTGGAGGGCTCAGCCACCCACATGGTCACGGAGGTGCTGCACGGGGCCCAGGCGGAGTCTCAGAATCTGAAGATGTCCGGGACGTCCAGCGGCATCTTCTGGAGATGATGGAGAAGATACCGAAAGCTGCCGCAGGAGGAAGAGACGCCCCCGGATGGAGCGATGCAGAGAGACAAATGGAAGGAAAGATCCACTCTACAGTCTACAGCGACATCTCCATGAAAAACCCAACTACTTTCCGAGAGGCCTTTCACATCTACGCCATTTCCTCCCAAATGTTCAGAGAACGGGGGAAGATGGTGCCGGTGAAAGTCTGGAAAGTCTGGTTGTATCCGCTCATCAAGTTGGATCCCAAAGCGGCTCGGATCGTGCGGGGGCCACCCTTGGTCTGGCTCCGGGAGGCGGAAGCTCACCTGCAGGCCCTGATCAAAGTTGATCTCCGGTGCCAGGATCTGATCAAATCCCCCATCGCA